TGGGGTGGGGGACAGATTCTGGCACACACCAACGTTTTTCCACGGTCCCCTTTTCCCACCCCCTGCTGACTCCCCTCCACACCTGGCCAGGCTCAGCTTGCTGGCAATGCTGACCCACCAGAAATAGAACTATTTTTGTAATGCATATATTATTACATCCTTATAAAAGTGGCTGCCAGAAGGAAAACACTTTTATGTGCTGTAGCCGCACAGATGTTCCACAAGGTAGTTCCAACTCAAATCTGGAGTCAGAGCCCAGCCTGCTGCCTGTCCCCAAGACCTTCTCCTCCTCTCCCATGGCCTGAGATGGGGGAAGACACTGGAAAGCTCTTGGAAACGGGTGGTCATTGTCCTCAGGGGGTGAAACCGTGTCTCTCACTGGCACATGGCATCTTCAAGTGAGAACAGCCAGGAGGGCGGGCTTGGCAGAAGTCAGTGCCACTCAAGAGCCCTGTGGCTGCTTCTGGCTCAGGTCCCAAGGCCCCTGTGCTGGAGCCCAGAAGGAAAAGGGCCTCAGCCTGTCTAGGACTTGATTTCCTTACCGCTGCATCACACGAAAGGAACTAATATACAGAAAACGCGTAGAGCGGTGACCGGCGGGAGGGCAGCTCTTCTGGCTTGTCCAAACAGAGCTCCGTTCCCAAGCCCCTGCAGCCCTTGGAGTCCTGCTGGTTGCCAAGTTGTGCTGTGGGCACAAGGCTGGGTTGGAGGCCAGGACCCAACCTGCTGCCAAGCCAAGGAAGGCCAGGGTTGCCCAGTGTAGGAAAACATTTGGTCTAAAAGTGTGTACATTCTAGAAGGTTCGTGGTAGCAGCAGTAACAGCTATCTTTATTGAGTACAAGCCATGTGTTGACATGGTATGAGCTTTCAAAGCAGACATCATCAACTCAGAGTCTCAGAGAAGTGAGGTGGTTTGTCCGGGTCACATAGCTGGGAAGCTACTGGGCTAGAACCAGGACTGAGGTCTGAATGATTCTGAAAGCTGTTTTCTTCCACAAGACCTCTCTGCTGGCTCAATTTCCTCTATGCTCTTTACCAGAAAAGCCAAGGATAAACCACAATCCAGAGCTCAGAAATTCCGAGCAGGGTCCATCTGGCCTCCTATGTCTCCCGCCTTGCATCTCTGGCCCCTTCTCCTGCCCTGTCCTCTGTAGCCAGGGACGGGGGCCGAGGGACCGCCTAATACCCAGCTTTCCTCCTCAGCCACACGCTGGGTCATTCTGTCCTGGGCCATCTGACAAATGCCCAACAAACCACTCTGAGGAGCCGTGCTGCTCGAGTGTGGCCACCCAGGCGACCTCATGGGTGGCAGCAAGGAGCTGCTGCAGCTGCACACACTCCCAGATCTGCCCTGAGCTCGCCGGCCCATCCTTTGTTCCCTGCATCTGGAAGGGCGGGCCCCGGCTTCACCCCTCTAAGGAAAATATACTGCCTGGCCAAATGAACTGCCAAGGCTAAGTCAGGGAGACCTCTGCTGCCATGACCCGCGACAAGGGCTGCGGCTGGGGCTTTCTTGCCTGAAGACACACTGGGGAGCCTGTGCCTACGTGGGAAGACAGCTCTGCCTGCAAATGACTGGCCTGATCTCCCCACTCGACAAAACATTCCACCTTCATGTCTAAATATTTAGAATTTGGAAAAAAAGAAAATCAAACGAACATCTGCAGGGCCCTTCCCCGGATAGGAGACCTTGGATCTCTTTCCAGAGATTTACGTCTGCCTTCCCCACGTCTGCTGTCACACAGGACGGGACCTCAGTGCGGCTTCCTTTTCAGCGTGCTGCGACTTGGCCCACAGCCCTTCTGCACTTGCCCCAGGCCTTCCTGCGAGGGCTCTGAGGAGTGAGCCAAGGGGCACCTTTGCCCGCCTCCCTGCTTCCTCACTGAGGGTCCCACGGGGCTGGAATGAGCCTCCACGAAGCCCCACACTGGCAGGGATCTGCCCGAACACTTCACTCTGTTTTCTAATCCATGTTCCAGAGAAACAGCTCTGATGGGGTAACAAAAGGCCACAGTGAGGGGGTGGCAGGGGCCCCGGGAGCTCACACCCGGGTGTGTCCCGACCAGCTGGGAACTGCAGCTGTGGCCATTCATCACCGTGACAGGGACCACCGAGAGCAGCGCTCCAGCTCATTGGCTGGCACTTCCTGAAGCCATCAAACCGAGAGAGGTCAGGACCTGGGCAAGGATGGGATGCCCTGGGAAGGGACCCCTGATGAGAAGCACCCGCAAGTCTTTCTAGATACTTCTGCAGGCGGGGCCTAGAAAGCCAGAAGATGAGGGAGTGTCTGGGGCCACGCATGGGCCAGGCTGTTGCTGGGGAGGGCTCCTGACAGCCAGGCAGTGTGTGAGCACGATGGGCAGTGGGGCGAGGGTCCACAGGGAAACCCTCAGCCTGCTGTTGCACGGGCTGTGTGGAGCAGGGGTGAGGATGTGAGCTGTGCTCACATCCTAGGGCTCACACGGCCCTGGCTGCTCTGCTCCGAACACCTCCCCTGCTGCGGCTGCTCCTCCAGCCTCCTGCCTCTGCCCTCCTTCCTCCCTGGAGGTGATGCTCACTTCTGTGCTGACCTCCCCCTGTAGAGACCCTCGTATCTCTGACGGCTTCCCGGGGCCAGGCCTCATCACTTCTCTCCTGGGCAGCTCTAACAGCCCCTCCTGTCAGAAGCTCTCTTTGCTCCCTCCAGGAGTGAATACATCTCCAGTGCTCTACCTGTCCCCTGGTGCCCATAAGGTGGGGCCCTGCCAGAAGCAGCTGATTCCCACTGGAACATTTATTTAGCATCTACTGAATGACAGGCACAGAGGACAGTTTCAGACCAAACAAGTGTGGCACAGTAGAAAGTAGCATTTTCTTTCCAGTCAGGCAAATCTAGGTTCGAATCCTAGCTCTGCCTCTTACTGGTCACGCTATCATGGACAAACTACTTCACAGCTGTGCCTCAGTTTCCTCACCTGTTGGGCAGGGGTGATAACTCTGCCTCGTGTACAGCTGAATCAGAGACAGCCTGCACAGCCGTACGCGCTTACGGTGTATTGCTCACTTGCCCAATGTTCCGGGAACCCCTCTGTCCCCCATCCAAGGCAACCCCAGACACCCTTCCAGGGCTCATCTGGGAGTCGTAGCTAAACCCCTCAACCCTCATTTCCCCTGTTTGTTCAGAAGCTGCGCATCATTAACTTAGATTTGTCTACCTCACCGCTCCCCCATACCCTCTTTATAGTTACTTATGTTGGAAGCAAGCCCCAGCTTTAATGCACCTCAGATGAATTATGGGATTGACCGTAAGAATGATGACAGAAACATGAATTTCCTCATTAAAGCCCCAAGAGCAAAAGGCAATGCAAACAAGGCCCGTGGCCCCAGCCAAGGTGTGCTGAGGACAGCCACTCATCAGGCCCGCGTTTGGCTTGGCAGGAGCCGCTGCTCAAGGCAAGCCGGAACCAGACGCTGGCCGTGGCTGACAGCTCTGATTTAAACTATTAGGAAGGCTGAGGATTAAATATTTGTCCAGGTCACTGTATACTGGGTGGAATTATAAACAGTTGGAATGGTTAAGTGATGCAGGAAGTAGTCTCTGGATATAGATTTGGGGTTCTCCACCCATTCCCCAGGTGTCAGGGTATGGGGAGGCAGGCAGGCAGTGGAGGAGCCAGGTGCCTGGGCTGGCCCTCTCAATGGCCTTGGAAGGTGAGGGGCCATTTCCAGGCAGCAGGATGGGCTCTGCCCCAGAGCACCATGCTTGGTTCTGGGAGGGGTAGGGACAGCCTTGTCCAGAGACCAGCCAAGGAGACCCTGTGCTCCCTCTGGCTTCTGGCTGAGGCATAGCAGAGGTGGTGAGGGCTCTGCATGTGAGTCTAAGGCTCCGACACACGCCCCAGGTGTGCTGGCTGAAATCTGCCTTGCACTTGAATGTAGATGTTCTTGAGACTAATAAAATATAAATTCACTTAAGAGTTACTAACTGATCCTTTCAGTCATTTTTTTTCTATTCAGAGCTATTAAAAGCATGACTATCATTTTTTTTTTTTTTTTGGTGGTGCTGGGGATCAAACCTAGAGTCTTGCACATTTTGGGCAAAAGCTCTGCCACTGAGCCACAGTCTCAGACCCAAGTGTAATTGTTTTATTGAGAAAAAATAGCTTCTGACACTAAGGGAATGTGATTATTTAAAAGCTAGGCATTCTAGGATGGGACAGGGCGCCATAAGGAGGTGGGCTCCCTCCTGAGGACAAAGTGCTGCCTCTATATACTGGGTGGTCTGTGCCTTCTCTTTCCCCTTTACTTAAAGCTTTCTGCCAGAAGATGAAGGCCTCTTGAGGAAAGGGTGTGTATGGGGTCTCGGAGGGGTCAAGGTCTTAAACATGAGCTTCCTTCTGGATAGGGTAGCAAGGGTCTTAAAGCAGCTTAGATGCTTCGAAGGGACATTAGGAGCCTGGTAGCTAGTGATACCCAAGGATAAGATGGGTAGGAGAAACGGGTCTTCAGTTTTAATGTACACACAGAACTGCTGGGAGAATTTCATTAAAATGTAGATCCTGAGTGGACTGGTCTGAGTGGGGTCCAATATTTTAGCATTTCTGGTAAGCGCTCTTGATTTGAGGCTGGTCCTCAGACTGGGCTGAGACAGCCCAGTGCAGGGACCCTGAGATGCAGATGAGTGGCTCACAGAAGGGCGAGCTGGCTTGGCCTGATGGTGGTCTTGGCTACAGGAGGGCAAACAGCGCGGCACTGCATCCTGGGGCGCTGCTTGAGCCTGCAGTGGAGGGCTGTGGCCGGCCCTGCAGAGTGGGAAGAAACCATGGCCAAGCCTGCAGTCACCGTGTCCTGCTATAGCAGGGAAGTGTTTACAACTATGTGTGGCGCAGAGGGCACTATCTGAAACACAAAGCCCCCACAGATGGCAGATTTACAGCTGGCCAACATGATCACCGCAGAAGGTCAGCTCTGAGGCTGTCACCTGTGGACACAGGCAAGTGGCCGGGAACATGAACTTTACCTGTCTGGTGAGGCTGCCTCCGAGGTTCATGGTGCCCGAGCCGGATTTGTTGGTCTGCAGCCAGAGCATCACTGTGGAGGTCAACTTGTAATGGGCATTGCGGCCACTGGACTTCTCCTAGGGGGATGAGGCAGAGATCAGAACCTGCAGAGCAATGTGGGCTGAGGACAGCCTTGGGCATCTTCAATTCAGGCCATTCTAACAGGTCCTTTCCTAAGGCATCACCACAACATTACCTCCCTTAAAAATCCCAATTGTTTGTTTGTTTGTTATTGTATATGTTTTTAGCACATGCAATTTACAATCATCTCGGGGAGCAGGTATATATGCATAATACAGCTTGTTGCTCCCCCCTCAATGGTTTTTAAAGGGGCAGAATCTACAATCCCATATGTTAAGTTCTTTTGGGATCTTTATTAACACTGACTACTGCAGCCTCGTATTTCTCCAAATGGATTTGGAGGAATCAGCAGGGGTCTTTGTATTGCAGCAGAAACCTTTGCTAGAGACTGGGCTCACTGGTGGGCTTAGCACCTGCACTGGGAGGCCCGGGCCACCAGCTGCTGGGGCGGCGGTACCTGCACTTCTACCACATGGATGGAATCCCAGCAGCCTTTGATCTTCTTTGATCCATCTCCAGCCTTCTTTATGAGGATCACTCCAGCAAACCCATGATCCAGATCCCAGAGGTAGACAGATGAGACGCCGCCTTCAAAATACCTGCAAGAGACAGGCCCATGTGCCCATCAGATGTTAAGAGATCTTAGACAAGGTCTCAGGCTGTCATTTAGCAATGACGTACCCAGACATCTGTCTGGGATTAAGGACCCTACCTGCAATGGTTCTAGGCCTAATCTTTATGTCCCCATCATCCTCCAGGTGGGAGTGAGATGCAGCATTTTTAGGGGTAACAGAAAGAGTGTGAGCTTGGTCATGAATATAAATTTGAGTTTGAGCTTTGTGTTTCTGGTGAGCTCACTAGCTCCTCTGGCCTTCAGATTCTTCCCCGATAAAGGATCTGGCACAGTGTGTGACACACAGCAGACAATGACTGGAAGCCACTGCTACTGGAGTAATCATTATTTTAAATGACTCTAGTCAGTATTTCTACCTTTTGGGATTCCTATTTGAATGGGGAAATGGAAAAATATAGCAACAAGTACCCACCCATCCCAGGAGGATCAGGACCCCTGAGGGTCCTTTAGTCACTTGCTAAAAAAGCCTAGCCAGAAACAATGGGTTACATAGCTTCTCCACAGACCCAAGTCAACGTGGAAAGATTCCATGTTATGATCAAATGGTGGAGGGAAAGAAAAGGCCAGGAAAATAGGCCAGCAGGCTGGGCTTGAAGACCTAAGGGACCTGAGGGGATTGTTGTGATAGACAGAGGCTGCTGTGAGTAGAGATTCCAGGAATGGAGTGAGCTAATGCAGAATCTCAGACTCTTATCAATAGCTGACCACAGTTCTGGAAAAATCAACTCTTTCAGGGCCAGTGTATTCTTTGCCCGATAGTCCAGGGGCTCTCTGACGCCAGGGAGGCCGTGAATTAACAATGCAGCAAGTACACTGTGGGAGCAGGGCTGGAGGGCCAGCCCAAGCGGCCCCAGCCATGATCTCTGCTCACTCGCTCACCTATCCGACAATGATTAGCTAAGGGCAGTGACCAGGGAACATCTGTGAAAACCTGGACCACAGGTCCAGACAATGCCTACTTTATCTGACAGTTTAGAGACAAAAGCAAAATAAAGAAGCTACCTGACAGATGATTACTGTTGTTTTTTATATTAAGCACTAAAAATTAACATATTTCTGTGGATGATATCCCAATAGAGCTGTTCTATAATGAAACACATACACAGGGTAAATTTCAGTATTTAAGAGAGCACGGATGAAGGGTGGATAAGAATTCTTCGTATAATTGTTCCTCTGTATCTAGAGGTTCCACATCCTTGAATTTAACCACCTTTGAGTTGAAAATATTCAGGAAAAAGCATGCATCTGTACTGAACACGTACAGGTTTTTTCCTGGTTATTATTCCCTGAATAATACAGTATTAACGGGGCAACCCACTTTCCAGGCCCCCTTCTGTCCCTCTTAAAAAGCTTTCTTGCTGGGCATGGTGGCGCACGCCTGTAATCCCAGTACTCAGGAGGCTGAGGCAGGAGGATCGTTTCGAGTTCGAGGCCAGCCTGGGCTACAAAGTGAGCTCAAGGTCAGCCTGAACTGCATAGTGAGACCCCGTCTCCAAAAAAAAAGCTTTCTTTGTCTCAATATATTCTTCCTACTCTAAAAAAATTTTATATATTTATACACACACACACACACACACAATGAACTATTTACATAGCAGTTGCACTGTGTTAGGTATTCTAAGTACCCTGGAGATGATTTATAGTAACAGGGGACATGCACAGGTCATGTGAAATTATGATGGCATTTTCTGTAAGGGCCTTGAGCACCTGAGGACTTTGGTTTCCACACAGGGTCCTGGAACCAACCCCCTGCACACTCTTAGGGCCCATTACACTGTGTTTGCAATTTTACTCAAAGTCTAAAATTATTTCAAACTAAAAAAAAAAAAAAAATTAGGTCAGTACATGATATACGCCAAAGTGTAACGCAATCCATCAGAAGGAAGCAGCCCCTGCTCCACAGACACACTGACATAGCAGGGTGCCAAAGCTATTTTATCTCCTTGCCCTAATTCACTGAAGACCACAGAGTTCCCAAGGGGGCTTGCTGCTTAGGCTGGCTACCTTACCCCATCCCTGCAAGATTCCTACGGTAGACGGGGGCCAGTCCTCTGCTGCAGGACTGTCCCATCCCCTTCTCCATCCCACACGCCCACTGTGATTAAGCCGTCGAAGCGGATTCACACCCTGCCTCCCACTGGCAGGGGCAAGCACCATGAGCATCTGCTCTAAGTGTCGAGAAGCCAGACGCAGAGTGGCATGGGGCCTGGCTCCGGACAGATGCAACAGTGCAGGACCATGGGAGAAAAAGCATGCAGGAATGGGCAGACATCTGTGGGGCCCAGCACTCGGGCCATACTGGGCGAACGCCAAGGCACTGGCCAACCCTGCACCCTCCAAGATGCAAAGTGGAATATAATGTCTCTTCACCTGAATTCTCTCCAAACTTTCCCACCCAAGATGAGATAAGATGTGTTTTGATTTAAAAATCCAAGGTCCCACCTCTCTCTGTAGAGCAATCTGGGTGTGGACCAGCCCCATAGGGTGTGAGCACACGCTGGGCCATTCTTGAATTATCCTGGGATGTGTGGAGATAGATCATCACCTCAAAATTAGAGCTGTGCTACAGTCCGGCGGGCTCACGAATCTTTTTGGTCATGTACTAGCTTAGGAGGCTGGAGGGAACAGCAACCCACAGCAAACCTTCTGGTACCCTTCCTGCTGGTGACGGTTCTCGCACTGGCAAAAAAGGCTGGGGTGATAATTCCTTCTGGCCATCCTGGAATGAAGGCCAGAAGTCCAGGGTATTTTCGTATGTTCACCAGCTGCAGTGGCGCCGCTCTCGTGCGTGCTGGGGTACTGGATAGGCAGGTCAGGCTGCCCTGCACGGGAACTAGGAAGAGAGCCGGTGGCTTGACAGTCCTCATTAACACTACCCCATGACCAGTTCAAAAGTACCAGATGGCCTAAGATTGAGCCCCTTGGTCCTCCACCTTCATGTTCTTCCAGAAACATAAGGCATCGGTGTTAGGGTTTTATAAGGTGGAACTGGCTGTTTCTACTCCAGTGCCCCACCCTGTGGCCTGGGCTCCTGCCCTGGACAGCTTCTCTCTGCTGTCCTCGGCTACCCTAATGGGCCATGCGACCAGGCCTAAAGCTTCAAAGTGGGGAGGAAGAAGGTGAAAATGAAAGCCCAATTACGACCTTCCTGTGGGCTACTCTTTAAAAAAAAAAAAAAAAAAAATCCAGGGAAAAACATTAAAAAAAAATTTAAAATTTAAAATATAGCCTATGATACTATAAATCAACATATTCCATAAATCTGATTTTTCTGAAATCCCTTCCAGTCTTTGTCCAGAGGCCTAATCTTTATGTAATCATGAACACAACAACGGATACTATGTTGAGTTCAGTGTTTTTTCACCTGGCACCTAATGATTATCACTTTCCCATGGGGCCACATGATCTCCACAATCGTTTTTAATAGCTGGGATAGTATTCCATCCGGCAGAACTCTAATTCACAGTTGATTTGACTTTTAATAAAGAAATGATGGCAGTGGAATTAAGAGGCAGTGCCGCTGGCCTCACTTTGAATGTGTTCTTCTCTGAAGGAATTGGAGTGCTCCCTCCGGAGGCGTGGCAGGCGTGCTGGGACGGGGCCTCCTCTGGCATGGCCCAAACACCACAACAACTCAAGAAGGGACTTGTATTCCACATGCCAAGAGGGACCTCCAGGGACGTAAGCGGCCACAAGTCTTAACGTGATGTTCCAAGACAAAGGATCGACGACTGAGGGATTAGAAAGGGCCACTCTGGAATCACCAGAAGCACCAGCCTCCCTGGTGAGCCCCGTCAGGTGGGCTCCTTGCACAGTCAGGTGAGCGGTGACTGCAGGGGGAGCAGACGCCCCCTGCCCCGTTACACAGTTTATGGTTTTACTCTGTGCGTGAAGCATTAATTAAAGAGGGACCTCAACAAGATTTTGAAAATTTATTCTTACCTACTGTACTTTGATCATAATGACATGAAACAAGGAAAAAAAATAATTTTTATGTGGTTCACATTTATGAGTTTTTACATAAAGGCTTTTGTGGGTATTTTAAGAATGTGCTAAAACGTTGTCTGAAACCACATGAAGCCATCCGAGAAGTCACCCGCCAGAACTAACAGCACACACATGGAAGCACTTTAACTGGCCTTTGTGTATGTAATGAGTCAAATAGTATTAATATTGTTTAAATGCTAACATACTATTTCAATAAGGTGGCTCTGCCGTCGCCAGCGACCTGCTCTTGGGCCCTGCAAGGCACCATGAATGATCGAATGTGGCCAAGAGTGGAGAGCAGACGACAGGGGAATTAAGCCATCCTGCCTTGAGCTCTGCCTGGGCGTGGCCACTCCAAAATCCCCAGCTCTCCAGGAAGCGAGGATGGGCCCAGGACTGAAAGCCACAGCTCAGCCAACTGGGCTTGGGAGGGAAAGCCCAGAGTTGCAGCAGCAGGGTTTCCAGTCATGGGGGCAGCGCAGAGAACATGTGCCAAACTGGAGGCCCGAGGATGGAAGCATGGGCTTTGCGTGGGTCTCCTGTGAGTGGGAAGCTGGGCAGCCTGGGGCTGAACTCAACACACATGGGTCAAGATGGTGAACACCCTGCTCAAATCAACACACCCTCTACACCAAGGCATATAATAGTCAAGATTCCAGAAATAACACAAGAACAGACTACTAAAAGCTGTTAGAGAAAAGAAACCTATGCAGAAAAGCACCTATAAAGGAAAGCCCATCAGAATCACAGCAGACTTCTCAACACAAACCCACAAGCCAAGGAGAGCTTGGAGTGAAGTATTTCAAGCTCTAAAAGACAACAACCTCCAGCCCAGATTGATGTATCCTGCAAAACTATCTTTCAAGTCAAGACACTCCAGTAGCAGGGTGGCAATCTCAGGAGACTGCACAGAAGTCACCGTGGACAAGGGTTGAACACAAAGTGGTGAGGCCTCAGACAGCTCCAGGACATCCAGTG